TCTGACCATTGTGCCTCTTATCTGATCTCTCACCATTGTACCTTTATCCAATCTCTCCCCATTGTACCTAAATCTGATCTCTGCCTATTGTACCTTTTTCTAATCTCTGCCCATTGTTTGTCTTCAGCAGGGAACTCCTTAGATGGGACTAACAGGCGTCAGGAGCACTTCTCTCGATTTTCAATGCCTGACCTGAGTAAAGACTCTGGGGTAATTGTGTCTGATAAAGGCACCATGGGGACTCTAAACTCATCAATGCAGTTCCGCAGCACTGAATCCCTGAGCTCTGTCCCAAGACCTCTTGCTGATATTGGCATGCCTGTCAGAGTAAGGTACCCTCCTCCACTATACTGGGATTCGCACAGAGGGATAAGTTTCGAGGATCCAGTCAAAGGGCGCATTGGTCTTGCAGGAAGCATGTCCTGTATGCAAGAAGGCAATGCCCAAGCAATGACACCACGGCCAAGACGTCCTCAAACACAAGACTCTCCCAGACAGCAGCGTCAGCGACAACGTCACCATCACAAGAGTCACAAAGGTCATAAATATCACTATCGCTCCCGCCGCTCTCGGTCAGACAATGCCCTGCATTTAGCTACAGAAAATCAGAGTGTCCCTGGGGACCCCATTCATAGGTTTCACAATGACTTTGAGCGACCATCCTCATCAAGAATGTCACACAATCTCTTTGGAGCTAATTATGGCTACCGACAACAGTTCTTTAGGCCATGCCCTCGAACCACATCGGACCTCACCTTGCAGGATCCTGGAGGTCCACAATTTGGACAGTATATGGGTAGGTATGGAGAAACAGCTGATGATGAAGATCAGTTTTGCTCAACCTGTTCCTCTTCTTCAGAGGTGTCTGATGATGATGGTTACCTTATGGGTGAAGTCATTCCACGGCCAGTGCAGCTCCGATACTTTGACAATGAGGAATTGCGACATCGTTATAGTCCTACATTGACGGGTGGTCACACCCAATTACATACACGCAAACGGCGAAAGAGCAAGAACTGCATCATATCATAAGCAAATGGTAATGTGAGTATTTGAGTGTGTGTTTGTGAGAGTGGGTGAAGTGAGTATGTGAGAAGTGAGTAGACACCTGTACATCATCATTTAATTGTCAAATAATTCAAAATTCTATCACCTTCCAGTAATTGTGTTACTTGTTTAGTTGAACATACAGGTATTCCCTCTTGTGTAATATTTACCGTTTAGATGTACTATTTTAAACATACAGGCTCCACAGAAGGATCCAAGTATATTACAGTGAATCTTTTTTTCCCCCTTAATTTGATGTCCACCTTTATTTTCTGTTTTTGATGAGTTTTAAATCTCAGGGCCCTATTTTAACAATCTGAAACGTAAGTATCAAGCGTAAAGCGCAAGTAACTTTTTGGGCGGTTCTTGGGCGCTGTTGCTATTTTCCCGGCGGGATAAATGCCTCTTGCGCCTGACACAAGTTTAAAAGGGGTTGGTCTGAAGTAGCTTCATTATTCGTTGGTGTGGTTTGGGCGTAAAGTGAAATAAACCTTTCAGAGCGTCATCCAACATACCCTTTAAGAGCAGGTGCGCATGTTGCATGGTGGATTGTTATTCTAACGGCGAGTTTACCAGGCGCGCGCCAGGAGCGTTCACAGCCGATGAGACCGATGTCCTTTTCAGGGCAGTGAAAGACAGAGAAGTGTATGGGGATGGGAGAAACCCTCGCACATCAGCGTCGGTTAAACATTATATACGTATGTTTCTTGCCACTATTGGGCAAACAGGTCTGATCCTTCAGTACTACAATTAGCCTTAAAAAAGGGTAATTGGGTTTTTTGTTCTTCATGGACACCACAATTATTTCTCTCATGAGTTAATATTTTGCCTTGTTACAACGTATGATTTGAAAAAATAAAAACTGCTGCATCTGTGTTGATGAGAGAATCAAAGGGTATGTGTGTTGTGCACCGCTACATTATGGGCAAGCACACGCACTTAAAATATCAATATGAACGACGCAGATTCAGATGCTCTTTGCTGGACAGGGTTGAGTTGCTCTACGTTTCTCTTTAAAATAACCCAAAGGGGTTCCATCGGAAGTCAACGTTTTTTACAACGTCAGAATCTTGCATGCTTTTGCCTGTGTGCTGTGGATCGCTATCTTGCTGAAATATTCTTCTTTTGCCCAACGTCTTCCAATCTTGCTTTTTGGTTCTGAAGGGTATGCAAGGATTTGTCCATAGAGGTTGATGCCATACAATGTCCTTGAGCTGCCACAGAAACCCTGATTTCCAGTTATAACAACATATCCATGTCTAAAGCACTTGCCCTTCTGCTTTTTTTAATTTTTTTTTAGAACTATTGTACACATCATTTTAAGATAGGGGTGTCCAATTCTGCTTCTGGAGGGCCAACATAATGCAAATGTTTCTCCTGCCTGGAAGTGTGTAGTAATCCTATAAAGATGTTGATTAGGTGATTCAGGTGTGTTTAGATTGGGCTGGAGCTAAACTCTGCTGAAAGGCAATCCTCTGGGAGCATAATTGGACAATCCGGTTTTAGGATAAGTCCAAAATTTAGAAAGATTTGAGGTCATTTTAAAACAACGTTATTTTATTAATAACATAAAGGTTATTTCAAAATATCAAGTTCAGAAATATCAATGATGACACATGACGTGTGTGTGTGTGTGTGTGTGTGTGTGTGTGTGTGTGTGTGTAATCAATACTCTTAGTCAAAATTGAAAAGTAATGCAGAAATAATATAGTTATCAAGAGGTGATAACATTTCTATTCATTTGACAGTTAAGTGATACGTTTCACAGGGTGTACTCTCTTCTGTTGTGTATTGTATTTTTTCCTAAATATCCAACTATGGGTTGAAATCCAATTCAGGCATGTTTCAGTCATTGCATAAGTAGGAAATGTGTTCTGATCTGAAATCATGTGTTGACTGTGACTGGAGATTGCACAATGATCAAATATATTAATTTCTATTTATTGGAATTGTACATTGAATTTGATCTATTGCTAAGAACATGAATTTTGTTTTGTAGAAACCTGTGCAATAACAATCTGCTATATAACTTAATTTCAGGAGAAGCAAAGAAGTGACGACTCAGTGTGCGCTTAACCTTTAGAATTATAATGTGGATTTTTAACTTACTCTTAAATTTATTTGCGTTACTGTTGAAAAGATTTGGGATTACTGCTCGGCACATTCCATAAACTCAGTGCTTCAAAACTCTAGTTACAACCATTTTCTTCTCTGTTTTTAGATTTTCTTGGTTGTAAGTATAATTCTAGTCAAGTCTACACACTCCCCCTTTTTTTCCCCTTCATTTTTTGTATAATTTAGTGGCAATACGGTTTTCAATAATCCCCTCGCTGCTTACTGTTAATTGTTCTAAATACAGTAGTTTCCAAATACGCGCTCTTCATGGTTTTCAACTTGTTTGATTAATTTCATTCTAAAATTGAACTTTATATAAAATGTTTATCATTTTGTTGGGCAGTGTTGGTTATGGTTTTAAATGCAATATTCTGTCTTTTTCAAAGTCATTTACAAATAATATCTTAAAATTAAATGTTTTCTTAATGATAAAAACAATATATAAAAATCATGTAGTATTGTAAAAGTTCTGTAAATATTGTCTTAAATATTTCTATATTTTGTATCTTCAGATGCATAATTTGTATCATATTATAGAGTGTAGAAAGCAATGGTGACTGCATGTGTATCCCCGTTCATGTCTTGTATGTGAATAAAATATCTATTTCAACAAACAAACGAAACCTCTAATTAAGCTTCAGATTAATTTTATTGTGATCTTTTAAAAATACTATTTTATATTATATTTTTTGAAATAGTATCTGATGTAGGGTGTAAATGACTTCTTTTGTACTTTTTAAAATCCTTGACTTGACTAAAATAGCTTGACTATGTTATCAAACAGCTAATCAGGTGTTGCTAATGTTACGCACGCCATGCTCCGGTCCTCCATCTCAGAGTCAGATAGCTGCCTTCTAAACATCAGCATCCTCAGAAATGCTTTTGAAGAAAACCATAGTTGTACCTCATAACATCGTAATATACATCATACAGATATTTCAACCAATGTCAATCGAATAACCTTCCCTGCTAGTTCGCTGTTAATGATATGCGTAAGCCCGCGGGCACGTTGACCTGATTAGTTTGTGACGTCAGAAACACCAGCAAATTCGAACTGTGTTTTTGAGAGCCTTTTTTTCACTGCAGTTTTAAAAGGGCACTCTTTTCACAAGATGTAAAATAAGTCTCTTATGTCCCCAGAGTGTGTATGTGAAGTTTAGCTCAAAATACCCAACAGATATGTTTTACAGCATGGGTTAGCGTTAGGATTTAAATTGTCCTAAAATAAGTTTAAATTGACACTTTTTGAGGCTCAGAAACACGTGCTGCTTTAGTGTGTATACCTTTAAATACAAATGAGCTGTTCCCGCCGGCACAGAGGGCGGAGCTTCAAGAGCTCGTGCTCCAGTAGCAGGACAATCTCATCTGAGGCAATGAGAATATCAGAACAGAAACTCTCAGTAGCGGTGTTCATTTCAACTGGAGTCGGACAATAATCCCCACAGAGCCGGAGCATATGCTGCTGTATGGAAATAGAACGGGTATTAGTTTAATTATGGTTATAACTAACCGCGTTCCAATGATGGCCAAACAATACTGATGATTCACATAAAAGAAGAAGTGTTTGTTTTACTCCAGAAAATCACTGTAAGAGCTGAATAAAACATTACAAGAAGTGCAGATTAAAGTCAAATCCATAACAGTAGTGGGCGGGGCTTGTGTTTAGCTCACTCGGGGCGGGGCTATGCTAATACCGCAGTGTCAGTCAACAGTCGTGGGCGGGGCTATGCTAATACAGCATTGTGGCAATTAAAGCATATTAAAAACCCCACATAGACACATACACAACATTAGATGTTCACCACAGGGGGACTTAAAAAATATATTAAATTCCTGTATTAGTGGAAGACAATTTTTATTTGTAATACATGTAGACAGACACAACAGCAAGCAAACTAACATTTCACTAAGCATTAAGCTTTATGTACAACTAAATTCATTATTCTTTACTCCGTCAATATGGTACCTATAGTTACAGTCTGCAAACAATATACAGGCAGGCATACATCAATGCAAATGTGATTTAAATATTCATATTTAAATATATCTTTAATAATTTAATGGTTCACAAACATTTTGTAATCTCTGTAATGACCTTTAAAAATTGGACTTTTCTCACTGGTTGTGTGGAATTACAGATTACTGGCACATCCTCTGATTATCAACAGAATAAATACAAAGCTAAAAAATCATTTTATTGTCAATGCTCTGTATATTAACTGGGTCAACATCGTGGCAGCTTTTTAGCATTAGGGTCAGTGCTACAACTCATTTAAAGAAATGCTGATAGAGATGAAGCACATTTTTAAAGTTGAATGGATTGCGTGAATAAGAAGTTGGTACATAAGCATCTGCATTCAGCCGTGAGTTTGCAGTCTTCACTTGATGGATGGAGTGTGTATCTCTTGGGAATCATACTCATGGATGAACTGCTCCATGGCCTTGACGCAGCGCATGCCGATGTCCCTCAGGTTCTCGTGCAGAGACAGCTGGATTAACTTCTCCAAGGACGGATCCTTGGTCACCAACATCTTCACAACCATGCCAAACGTGTCACAGTCCTGCCGATACACCTGTATGGATTATAAACATTACAAGCATTACAATATATCAATTAAACTACTGAGCATTTTTGTTTTTAAAAAGCCGCCAGCCTTTTTTAAATGATCAAAGTCTGTCCTGGCTTACTGTCCTTCTCGGGCAGGTTTTTATTAGTTGCAGTTTAGAAAAAGCCCTGTCGCCACTTGGGATAGCCACGTCTATGACACTCGCTAGAATAGGTGTATGCTTCAGAATCAGCAGCTCTGCCAGATCTTTATTTGTGCCTGTTTCATTTTTTTTATTACAGACCACAGGGAACTTCGAAACTAAAGCAACTGTGATGGAAACTTGGGTAATGTCATCGCTGTAGGTCACTGCATAAGCAGCGCATCATCAGCTGCCTCTACGAGTTCACTTGGATCCAAACCTTTGAAACATTGCTTGTGTCGATGCTGGTTTATTTTCTTCGGATTTTCTTGACTGTAGAGCAGTTTTGGTCAGTGCCTTTAGGATGTCAGCATAACAAAACTGTAGTGCGTGGAGAGCATCGTGTTTTGACGCTCATTGTGCGGGATAAAGTCTTTTCAGTGTTGGCTTCAAAAGCTGATTTTCCAACATTTCCAAGTCTCTGGACCACGTCATAGAACTCCTTCATCTCTGTGATATGATATGCCGACAAGCTTCATTTAACACCAAACTCAAATTATGCGCTTTGCAATGCATTGGGCTCCATGTAAAGGATTCGTCTCTGCACTCCAGAATAAAAAGCCTTCCTCATATCCTTGTCCTCTGCATTGTTTAAGCGACGGACCCTTACTTTGGATGAGATCAAGAGTTGTTTGTTGGAGACCCTCTGCAGTTTGATCGGTGATATTCTGGCATCCAAGGAAACTGTCAGTGACATCAGCGCAAAGTGCGTTATCATTTTCACCTTTCCGAACGATAACGTATCTGAAAACTGGACTGAGTTGATCAACTTTGCTGATATCCTGAATCGTGTCCATTATGATTGAATAAAATGCTGCCTCCTTTATCTCAGACACAATTTTGTCATGCACCTTCTGAGATAACTATGAAATCAATTCATTCTGAATTGCTGTGCTTAAATAATGTACTTGGCTTTTTAAAATCTTTTTTATCCGACGCTGAGACATACCGGGCTAACAACTTAATTACTGACCAAAAGTTCCCATTGTTTTCGGTCAGTCAAATTTTCATTATGCCCCCCTGAATGACAGATTACATGAGGCTAATGTCAGAGTGACGTCAATGATTCTTGTAAGCACTTGAGTCCAAAAATGAACCAGACTCTTGTATTCGCTGTCAAGGTCATTTTTCCACATATCATATGTGACGCAGGCTGTGAAGATTTTCACCAGCCACTCATTGGGCCTTTCTCAATCTGTGTTCTTGTCTGTACTTGTGTTCTTGTGAAACATCATCTTTTGTGGCCCAAGTACTGTCCCAATACACAAGTTTGCATTTTGGCAAGAACGGTTAAAAATCCCGGATGTGTTCTTGACATGCCCACTGTACCGAGGCTGCATCGGTTGATAACTTGTGTGAACTTGACGTGAGAAATATCGCGACAGCTTTCAATTCGGCATTCGAGGAAGGAGAGGCAGGTCCATACAGTAATTCGTTTTACGCTCATCACTAAATTCACTTCTGAGAACGTTGTAGATTTCAAATATTGGCATTTTCGCCAAAAATTTTGGTGAATCGAAAATGTGCTCAAACATTTTTGGAAGTGAGAATCTAAATGAGCATCTGCGGGTGTTGAGTTAGCTAGGGAGCGAGCGGGCAGTTTGCTCACAGCCCCGTTTCACCCCACAGTCGAGAGACCGTTGCCGCCTGGCTGTTCACATCGTCCCAAACCGTCAGCAGCATTCTGTCCGCTCGTCACCTTGAGCTCATTCCTCCGAGAACAACTAGCAAGAGCAAGTCCATTCTTTGCATTCTTGGTTTTGAGAAACACCTATTAAGTTCCACAGTCCATGACGGATGATGGGACGGACATCTCCTATCTGCAAAAGCCGCCAGTACGGCTCACAACAGGTGCGGCCCATATTTGGCGAGTAACACAACCATTTATGTGGCTCCACTGAGATATTTTCTCAAACTTATTTTTGCACTCATACGCTTCCCTTTTAAAGCAATTTAGGAAATTCTCGATTTTGATAGGATAAAAACAAGGAAATTGTGATCAGCAAACACGGGTAGACGGCAATTAGTACCAAAATAAAAGTCCTATTTAGTCACGTCATAAAAAAGCTTTATTTATTTATTTTGCGTCATATTTTTTGGGCCCCAGCACTTTAGAAATAGTTGCTCCTTTGCACTTAAAGAAGATTAAAGACAATAGTCCAACGCAGTGGTACAACGAGCACACTCGGGCCCTTGAGAGAGAAGCCAGAAGAATGGAGCGCAACTGGAAGAAAACTAAGAGAGAGCACTAATGCGTACAGAAAGGCCTTAAAAAGTAGCTAGATCGGCTTATATTTCGAGTCTCTCATATTTCTTTGATACAGTGGCTAAATTAAAAAGAAATAAAGCTTCTACTTCTGAAGTTTCCAAACAACACAGCAGTAATGACTTTATGAACTTCTTTACTTGCAAGATTAATAATATTAGGGAGAAAATTATAACTACTCAACCGTCTGCTACAGTATCGGACCGGGGACTGTGTCGTAGTCTCCCTGAGGAAAACCTCCATTCATTTATTGCTATAGAAGAGAAAGAATTGTCTAAAATAGTTAAATCATCGAAATCAACATCATGTATGTTAGACCCTAGTGATGAACTACTGAAAGAGATGCTTCCAGAGGTCATAGATCCTCTTCTTAACATCATTAATTCATCTTTGTCATTAGGATACGTACTGAAAACTTTTAGCCTGGCTGTTATTAAAGTCGGCAAGAAATCAAATTTGACAAATCTTCTTTTTATGTGTAATAATGTAGTGTTTATTATAAATGTTTTATCTGTGCACTTCATTATTTTTTTTTTTTAAATTCATGTACCCTTATAATCTTTAATCAAATAAATTACCCTTCCCTCCCCCCTCGAAACGACCTCTCTTCTTTTCGGTCACGTGCCATGGTGAAAGGGTGCGGCCAGATCCGATGTGGGTGCGGCTATCAGTGCACCGCCTCTCAGACTGAATGTAAACTGGCATTCAAATCTGTCTCCATTTTGTTTGCAACGCCCAACCTCCAACGATCCAATCAGTTCCCGAAGGACGAAATCAAGCCTCGCCTTACATTTTTTTTTCTAATTTCAGAAATCGTTTCACTCGGATAGACGTCATAACAAAGGAAAAAATTACAGTCTCAACTTCCGTTTCATGCCGACTTTAAACCACTTCCGGATTTAGACCGTACCATAGTACCGAGACAGCTCTCGTCAGTCACACGTGATTTGCTTTTATCATCCGATCGTGGTTGTATCTCTCTATTAGTGTTACTCGACCTTAGTGCTGCGTTTGACACAATTGACCACAACATTCTTTTAAATAGACTAGAAAATGATGTCGGCATTAGTGGAACTGCATTAGCATGGTTTAAATCACACTTATCTGATTGTTATCAGTGTGTAGCAGTAAATGAAGAGATGTCTTATCGATCACAAGTTCATTATGGAGTACCACAAGGCTCAGTACTAGGACCGCTGCTGTTCACTCTGTACATGCTGCCATAAAGAGATTTCATTAGGAAACATGGAATTAGCTTTCACTGTTATGCTGAGGATACTCAGCTGTATATTTCTTCAAACCCTAACGAAACTTACCAATTCACAAAATGAACGGAATGCATAGCTGATATAAAAAATGGAAGACTAGTAATTTCCTACTACTAAATTTTAACAAATTTCTGATTATTGGACAAAAAAACCTCTGCGCGTAGTAACCTAGAAAACGGTCTAACATTTGTTGGCTGCTCTGTCAAGTCTTCGTAGTCAGCATCTGTAAAATTGCATTCTTCCATCTTAAAAATATTTCTAAACGCTGACATATGCTTTCAATGAAAAATGAGGAACAGTTATTTCATGACATCAAGGCTAGATGACTGTAATGCTCTACTGGGTGGTTGCCCTGCACGCTTAATAAACAAACTCCAGCTCGTCCAAAACGCAGCCGCTCCAGTTCTTACCAGAACCAGGAAGTATGACCATATTATCCCGCTTCTGTCAACCCTGCATTGGCTGCCTATTAAACATCGTATACATTTTAAAATATTGCTGATTACTTATAAAGCACTGAATGGTCTAGCTCCGCAGTACTTGAGCGAGCTCTTGACGCATTATAGTCCTTCACGTCTATTGCGATCTCAAAACTCCGGCCAGTTGATAATACCTAGAATATGGAAATCGACTGCAGGCGGGAGATCCTTTTCCTATTTAGCACCAAAACTCTGGAACAATCTGCCTAACACTGTCCGGGAAGAGGACACAATCTGTCAGTTCAAATCTAGACTAAAAACACATCTCCTTTACCTGGCATACACATAAAACATGATCGATTTCTATTATTCAAATCAGTTAAATGATTATTAGGCGACATAAACTAAATCAGCCGGAACCGGGAACACGTCCTATGACACCTGATGTACTCGTAACATCATAAGAAGAATGGTATCTACACTAATGTTATTCTTTCTGTAAAGCTGCAACAATTTGAAACAATATGTATTATGAAAAGCGCAAAACATATAAAGGAATGTATGGGTTATGCATATTACCTCGGTTTTCTAAATGAAGGAACACAGGCACTCTCTAGGTTTGCTCCACTGCCAATAGGAGTATTAGCTCCTTCAGCAGAAAATATGAACAAAATGATAAACGGTCCCAGTTAATTGCACCAAAAAGTGTACCTGGAATGGTGAGGCTTACGCACCATCTGCCATACAGTAAAATGGCATTATTCTATTAATGCTTCAGAGGTCACTCCTGGGATCCTAAAGCGTCAGCCCTACATTCAGGGAAGACATCTTGCTAAGACAAATAGTATTTTTCCTTTAAATATAAAAATCTACTTTACATTTTTGATCAAATGATTTAAATGTGGTTTTGCCTCAGTGAACGTTTGATCAGGGTTACATAAAAACATTACATACAAGGTTACATAAAACAACCAATGTCAATAAATGTGAATTTCTATATTGCTAAAAGAGAGAAATTATGAAATAATATGCATTTCACCCTTGCTAAAAGCGTTATTATTGGTGTGTGGAGAAGCAGGCAGTCTTGTAGAAACTCTAGGATTGTATGTGTGTTTGAGCTGCTAGCTTTTATCGGATCACTTTAAAATAGCAGCGACTGCCTCATCTGCGGTAACCATAGAGATAGCGTGTCTCCGTGTGTGCGCTCTGGGGTGTATCTGAGTCATCGCATCACGAGCTCTCCGGTGCAGTTTCTTGAAAATAGAATAAATGACTATGATTACAATGAAAACACACCATATAATAGAGTTAGAACTTGTGTAACTCACTGAAGACACAAACTTACCAACAGGTCTCAAAATAAAACTATATTCAGAATAGCACTACCCTTGCTATTTCTGCAGCACGTTTTGCTATGAAAACGATGTGAATATTTTGTATGCATGTAATATGCAGATGATTTTCTACAATAGCTAGAACGCATGACGGATGTGTACCGGCTCTCTGTGGCCCGACGAGCCTCTCTAGTACGCAGAATCCTGTAGATGAGTGGAGTGGAGGGAAGTGGAGTTTAATCCATGCTCACAAATCCACTTGCTCCTGCCTTGCTCCTCGTGCACCCAGTGAACCTTCACTACATCGTGTCAACATTCATTTTATATTCCAGTCCATGGGGCATCTGCAGAGACTCCTCCATGACAGAAGGTTTTTGTTGCCATTGTTTTGCTCATTTTCTGTGGATTATTGAACTAATGGAATGGACATACAGACTAGCAGAGTGACCAATGCTACGCAATTAATCACATATTAACGTGATCACAGTTAATGATCGTCTGCATTATTGGTGAACTAACAAGAAAAAAAATCTAGAAAGATATATTGGTGTTTATTCTTATTAGGCATTAAAAAAAAAGTTTGGTTCCGGTTGATCAGGTCAGATGAGGTCATGGGTCAGCAGGGAATTTTTGTTTTTCTCTCCAGTGGAAGCAAGGGATAGGTAGGAAACAGTGATTATAGGCTAATGATGATACATCTGTCTGAAAAAATAACGAGGCATGTTAATTGTTTTTAATAAGCTATTGTTTTCTAAATGTCGGTGTGGCGAGCAGAACGAGGTTGAGGGTCGAGGAGGACGAGGGTCGAGCAGGTCGAGGAGGGTCGAGCAGTACGAAGTCGAGGGTTGAGGAGGACGAGGGTCGAGGAGGTCGAGTAGGATGAGGTCAAGGGTCGAGCAGGACAAGGTCAAGGACGAGCAGGACAAGGTCGAGGGTCGAGGAGGACGAGGTCGAGGAGGACGAAGTGGAGGAGGACGAGGTCGAGGAGGACGAGGGTCGAGCAGTTTTGTGGCCCTGGAAAATAGCCGCGAGTACTTCATTGAAAAACTTCCAGCGGTCAGAACTCTGACCAGGGGGGTCACAACAGAGTGGGTCAGTGTGTATGCACTATAGAGCTGGTAAGGATTGCATACAACTTCATGTCTTAAATGGGCGAACTAACCCTTTAAAGCCACAATATGTATTTTTTCTGCTTTAAAAATAGCAAAAATAACGGTATGTATGTTATATATTTCTGTTAGATATGTACTTACATTATCCCGACAGTTTCCATCAACTTTTAAATACGGAGAAATTTATGGTTTAATTCGAAGACACGGGACGTTTCTTTATTTCCGTTTCGTCGCCCGTCTATGGCGTCATATAACCTTTGACTCCTCTATTTTCTCTAACTTCCTTGCGGAGCCCGGCGAAACCTCCAAACACAAAGGGGAACACTGGACTACCGCCAATAAAGCAAAGAAAATGACGAAGAAAAAAAAGTAGTACGTATTTTTATGTGTGTAAATCACGTGCCCGCTCACGAGCGCTCACTCTTAACAGACACACTGTCCCCTGTGCTGCTCGCGCATAAAGCGCTCCCCGTTCACAGTAACCGTGTCGTCTCATTCAAAACAGCCAAGTGTTGCTGTTAGCGAGCCGCGCACATTGAATACTCATTATGAGTCAGGCTGCGAATGTACGTGCCCGCTTCAGCGCGCTCATGCTTACTAAATAAACACCGCGCACTCACTACATTCCCTTTAGCACATAGTGGATGCATAACGCAAACCCAGTCAAACGTTTGACTGCAGTATCTTATGTGCTTTATAATCCGGTGCGCTCTATATATGAAAAATGTTCTAAAATAGGTCATTCATTGAAGGAGCGTAATATAAATATTTATATTCGTCTGTATTATAGTTATGGATCACGAGTACACTTTGCCTGCACGTTCTGCTGCTACAGCCAGCTCAGTAAAGCTCAAACGTACCCGAAAAATATGACCCGAGAAGGGTTTCGGACAGGAGAAGCATGACACAGGTAAACATTGGGGTTGCATTTAAAGCTTCTCGACAAGCTAAATCTACAGAGAGATGCCGTATATCTGTATATTTTGTGAAACGATGATGTCATGTCATGAGCTGAGCTGGTTGTCATTGACAACTCCCGTGAGCCCACGCTCTTTCCCGACGTCATCAAAGTACGTCTTTTGTTATTATTTTAAACGAGTGACCCCTGGTGGCCAAAAATCGCATACTGTACATTTAAGTGTTTTGTAAATTAACTCTACTATATATACATAGGCCTACATAGCACAGTGTAGTTGTGTGTGTTACTTCATGAAAAATAGTCTCGAATAAGTGGAGGATCCAAGTTAAAAAACTGCGATGTCTGATTACCGTACAGACAAGTTAGTGCAGTTCTTAACAAAGCAGACACAACACACAATTTTCCAACACCACTCAAACCAATTTTTACATTTTTTTGAAGTCCATGAATTGAAGTATTTGCTATGTCCCTAAACACCCACTCCACACACACTCTGACTTCACTCATTCATTTGTTGTATTCCATCATTTGAGGGGTGAGATGAACATGTCAAAATGGGGCTTGCAGACGCACACACACACACACACACACATCAATTTACCTCCTCTATCTGCTCTTGCTTCTTCTGTATGGCTCTGTTTCGCGCTGCATTGCTCTTGCTGGCCTTCTGTGACACCTGTAGACGTCACAGTTAAAGACATCAGCAATATTCCAACCCAAAAGCATATATTTACGTATTATATAAGTCACCGTTTGTAGAAATGCTCATAAAATATTTTTTATAGCAATGCTTTTACGATTGTAATACATTGTAATGTCATATGTTTACATACTCATGACAGAAGCTATAATTCTGCACACAGAAACAGAAAGTGTATCACAAATGTTCACATGTTAATATACTCTTTCAGTGGAATGAGGGTAAACAAATTCGAGACTTCCTTAGATTTCTGAAGTAGTGTAGCAGATCGCAAATCTCGCGCATGCGTCGTGGAAATCTAAGGAAGTCTCGTTTCTGGCCTACAAGGAAGAAAAGAAATAGTCGAATAAACTCGTTATTTTTGTTTGTTTTTTCGCACAAAAAGTATTCGCGTCGCTTGATAAACATATAGTTGAGCCACGGTAGTCACATGGGATATTTAAACATTTTCTTCATTGACTTTCTGGGCCGTCAAGAGGCAGTCCCTTAGGAGCCAATGTGGTAGTTATACAGCTCTCAAATTTAATCAAAAATATCTTCATTTGTGTTCCGAAGACGAACGAAGGTCTTACGGGGTTGGTACAGCATGGGGGTGAGTAATTAATGACTTAATTTTCATTTTTGGGTGAACTAACCCTTTAAGGACTCTGATCAAATCTATAACCAAGGAGACCAACAGACCGGGCGGAGGAAGACTGAGACAATCAACAGATTAGTCCTTAATCCTTAATTCTCCTCGAAGTTCTTTGATCTGCCGCTGTCTCCTGCTAGGCCCTGCTGGTGGCCTTGGCATCTTGCCTTCTTTAACGCCAAAGGTGTCATGGCACACCTGGTACACAATGTCAACCATGATCTTGATCTTCTTGACTGCATCTCTTTTCAGAGTGTTTTCCAGGTTGATATTTAGATTGTCGTCCAGTTGGGCCCATCGGCAGTCTGTTGCTGGTGGTAAGTTCAAGCGTGGTTTCCTCTCCAAGTCTTTTGGACTTTCAGGTTCACTGACTCTTTCTGTGCTCTGAGTAGGTTGAGCAGGGAGGTCTGGGGCGCTGTGGTTTGCCTCCTGATCCTGGTCGTCCCCCACCGACTGATAAACACCCTTAACAAACTCATAGAGGTTACTCTGCGTAAGCTCGGGTGCTCTGCGTTGCTGACTCTGCTCTTTGCACTTAGACTTGCCTTGGTGGATTTTAACACCTCGCTCGTTCTTGAAAAGCCCTCCACAGATGTTGCATCTTCTTTTGGCTTCGACCTTCTTTCTTTCTGCATCCATCCAATCTCGTAGTCCTTTTTCCATTGTCCGGGTCTTTAACCATTGATCCGTCCGATGGAAGATTACCCCCCCCCCCCCTCCTCGGTCTGCCTGGGGGTTTTCTGTTTGTTCGAAACTCGTAGCTTTTGTGCAGTGCTTCGGGGTGCTAACCCTGACACTATTGCGTGGCGAGCTGTCATCTGTTCTTTCCCGGATGTCCGTGGGTCTTCCCCCACCGCCAATGGGCCTCTCCCCATGGTCTCGACAATAAGGCGAAGTAAACATCTAGATGCTTTGCCACAAGCTGCCACTGTAGGAACTACTAAACCATGATGCAGACCAGTTTCTCATGAAGAAATGAACAGCAGTTTCTCATGGTTCTGTTTTCGACACTCCTAATGCTTCGAATCTTTTCCCAAAACATTCAGGGGAAAGCCTCAGTGCTTCTTGAGGCTTCATTTGCCCATCCCTAGTTGGAACTCCAGGAACGGCATTGGGAACCCCTGTTTAAGCATTCGTGGTGGGAGATCGAGGCTACAATTTGAAACAATCAAAGCAAATGTGCTGTATTGTGACAAGGCTTCAAAACTATCCGACACCCGTCTCCACGGTGACCCCTAGTGCTCAGAACAGAGTAAATACAACAAAAAAACCTATTGCAGTTTTTTTTATTGAAAGTAAAATCTTTAAAATGCAATCATCTAATGTTTGTAGAAAGAAATGATATCTGTGAGGATTTCCAGTCTGGATTTAGACCGTACCGTAGTACTGAGACAGCTCTCAGAGTCACACATGATCTGCTCTCATCATCCTATTATGGTTGTATAGTGTTACTCGATCTTAGTGGTGCATTTGATACTATTGACCACAACATTCTTTTAAATAGCCTCAAAACCTCTAACCCTAACCCTAACCCTGTACTTGTTATATCATAAGAAGAATGGCATCTACGCTAATATTAGTCACTCTGGTTATCCAGAGGTTTACCGTAGTCCGCCGGATCTGATGAAGGACCAGTGCCAAAAATTATGGTAAAATATGTACTATGTTGAACACAATGAAACAGCCTAAACAGAGCATTCGTCTTACACTCGCGTTCACTTGATGAAGCGGATCACACTTTAAAATGGCGGTTGGGATTAACCAATGGGAAGTGAGTAGGGAAGTTGTCGAGTGTGTGTCTAAAGCGAAGTGGAATTCACTCGAGGTCATCCTCAGCCAGTTACTGATCTCGGTTTTAAGTTATTGCATGAATTTGACTTCCTATAGACCTCTGCATGTATTATGATGCTGTTTTTCTGTTGCCCAATAAACTCGTCGGCTAAGTCGTCAGCCTCTTCCATGTTACAGTGTGGAGCATGGAAAGCACATAGACTTTGCATAGACAAGCATAGTTATCAAAACAACTAAAGGTCCTAGTGCTATTTGGTCTAAGTGTCCACACTCTAAGCATCATGCTCAGAGAATCATATTTAACATACATGTACAGTAAATCACATTATTTGTTAATAATAATAATAATAAGTGTGATCATAATGAAATAATGCAAGGAGTTTCTGGTCTCTTACTGTGAATGGCAGTGATGGTCTGTCTCCAGAGGATGGCCAGGGAATGTCTATAAAAAGGGAATGGTGGGAAAAAGAGGAAAAAGTTAGAAAAAAAGACAACAGCTTCTGTAGCAAAATCTGTGTGGTGTCCTTTAGAAAATATTTTTCTAAAGTTTTTTTCTAAAGTTTTTTTTTCTAAAGTTTATAAATATTTTTTATATTTTTTTTAAATATTCCTCCTAGCATTTGGGCTTTTGTGTTATTTAATGGTGTGTACCTGGACGTTTAACTGCATATAAACATGTTTTACTACTCTCACCCTCTCTCTACTCACACACACACACACACACACAAGAACACCTTCAGCTCTCCGTCACTGACACACACACACACACGCACACACACACACGCACACACACACACACACACACACACACACACACACACACACACACACACACACACACACACACACACACACACACACACACACACAAGAACACCTTCAGCTCTCCGTCACTCACACACACACACACACACACACACACACACACACACACAAGCACATTCTCTCTCATTATATCTCACATTCAAGCAACACATACACACAAAAGCAGTGAGTCATCATCAGGCACATAACTGTGTGAGATGGAGGGGGAGGTAAATCTTCTCAACATGTCACATCTGATTTTTAGCCAACTCAAAAACAGACATGCACGTCTGCATGCACATGCACAAAACTTTTACACACACCCACACAAATGTACATGCCAGAGTTGTGCATTATTAAGAATCCGTGATTTTTAATTGAGCTATAGGTGATAAAAAAGGATTCAGCATTGTATTTTCAATGTTACTTTGAGGCACCAGAATAAAAGTGAAAGACATTACATTTTAAAAATATATTTTATTAATCAGTACGAATTACCCAAATTTGAAAAAAAAATCATTCACACAACACTATCAATGTAACACATTTGTGTAGACAGGCAGATGAAGACGAGGACGAATAAAGTTCCAACACACCAAAATAGGTACAAATCTAAAACGGCAGCAGGGTACACACACACAACTTTAAACGTAAACTTTAAACACAGAATTGATTTGAGCGATCAACACAGGCAGGTAGCTGCTAGAAGCGCCTCGCGCAGACAGAGTCGAGGAAGCGATGGCACACCGATGGCGAGCTGTGTGACCGAGGGCGGAGGCGGTGACTGAGGGAAGGCGGAGCTTGTCGGAGGCAAAGAGGGGGAGGGGGAGGGGGCAATGGACAACCCACAAGTCCTTGCCAGCAGCCATATCACCCTGTACCCAAGACTGGTCACCCGCTGAAGATAAACAGGGCTGAGGCGGGTCAGTGCCTGGATGGGGGACTCCTGGGAATACCAGGTTGCTACTGGAAGAGGTGTTAGCGAGGCCAGCAGGGGGCGCTCGCCCTGTGGTGTGTGTGGGTCCGAACGCCCCAGTATAGTGATGGGGACACTATACTGTCAAAGAGCACCGTCCTTCGGATGAGACGTTAAACCGAGGCCCTGACTCTCTGTGGTCATTAAAAATCCCAGGATGTCTTTGGAAAGAGTAGGGGTGTAACCCCGGCATCCTGGACAAATCTGCCCAGTGGCCTCTGTCCATCATGGCCTCCTAATCATCCCCATATACTGATTGGCTTCATCACTGTCTCCTCTTCACCAATAAGCTGGTGTGTGTGTGTGTGTGGTGGGCCTCCTGGCCCAATATGGCTGCCGTCGCATCATCCAGGTGATTCATCCAGAATCACTCCATTGTACCGAAATCGTACCGAATCGTCTGAATGTCTGAACCAAGGTATGAACTCAACCCAACCGTGACTTCTGTACCGTTCCACCCCTAATGCAGTTTCATTATTATTCATTACCATCCAGAGTGAGGCTTACTATAAATAATTTGTGCGACCAAATCATGTTTTGCGCCAGTAACTGAAAAAGTTAGTAGCGCAAGTGCCACCAGTGGAAAAGGTTAGTGTAGTTCCCTGGGGCGCGAGGAGGGAAGGCGCGATAAGTATGTGTGTGCGCGTGTGTGTGTGTAAGTTACGCTCAGCGCAGCTTCTAGGTCTCCAATGTTAATTTTTCTTTAAATATATGAAATGTTTTTCGCTGTTATTGGAGTTGTCATAAAGAATAGATCGTCTTGTAGTACTGCAGTGCTTTATCAATATGTTTATGCGTTATGCTAACAAAAAATGACTGACTGGGTCACCTGACCAATCACCGCAGATTCGCGTCGCGCAAAGGAGTGGTTTGGAAAAATGAGTCGTTGTACGAATCATTTGGGAGTCGTTGAGCAAATCAGTTAAAAATAAATGCAAATTATAAGACAAATGAAGTGTTTTTATCCTTGCATGCATGTTAAACTGTTTTTGGGAACTCCTAAAGCAAAAATAGGAACATTTCAAAAGCTATGATAGGGGCTCTTTAATAGAAATTTTACAGAGAGCAAATGGACTGCAAGCATCAGGGAGGAGGGTGGCATTATTATGGGTTCCAGCCCATGGGAGAAATGCCACTTGAAAGTTAGAAGGAGAACGTTAAGGATGAGATACTTAATTAATGTAAAAGGACATGATGAAAGACATCCAGTTAAAAAGGTACTGTAAAACTGTTGGGAATATGAGTATGGAAGTGGGAATAGTTTTGGGTAGGCACAGGAAACAGAGACAGAAGAAGCTCCTTTGGTTGCAATTTCATCTATAGAGCCGCTGAAGCAAAATATCAAAAAGAGTAACAGATCATATATCTGTTTTTACAACAGAACTGATGGACACATCATTAGCTTTACAATGGATAGAAGAAAAGCAGCCTAATAGACAGTAGTGTGATATCGACTGACTCACAATCAGCTCTGCAAAGTTCAGAGAGTGGAACATCTTTAACAAGACAAGATATTTTAAATGAAATATTGCAGAAGTTATACGACACCATAAAACACTTAGGAGTAAAGGTGAGTTTTGTGTGGTGGGTGTACAAGTAAAGGGGAACGAGGAAGATGATAAACTAGCAACTATCCTGAGATCAACATCAGAGTACAGAAGAGGAAAGCAGACTGAGTGGAAAAGAGGTGGAGGAGGATATGGGATGATAATGATAATGACAAGATTACGTATTGGACATACAACACTAAATCAAAGTTTACTTCAAATAGGAAAACATGAAAGTGGTAATTGCGATAAATGTGGATATCCAGAAACAGTAAATCATATTTACTAGAATGTGTAGCATACAGTAGAGAAAGGCTTGGATTAATTCAGTCAGTAATTTATAGGGGTGTAAGAAATTATATACTTAAGGAATTATTAGAAGGAACAAATTATACAATACACGAAAGAGTTTTTAAATTACCCAGAACTGGTAAAAATAAGATATAATTTATTTATTAAAATTTAATGTTTGTTTTTTTGTTTTTTTTTGTTTGTTTGTTTCCATCCCCAAGTGTATTCTATCAAGTAGTGCTCCATACTCCAATCCAGTAGGTGGCGGACAATGCACCTTTGAGTTGGTTTACCAACCGCCATTTAAACAACAGAAGAAGAAGAAGAAGAAGAAGAAGAAGAAGAAGAAGAAGTAGTTTGTAGCCATGTGCCGTAGCAGGGCTAATATTTCATCTCTGTTCAAGCCACTGTTTGCCCTATTTGGAGGAACAGTAACTCAATGTAAGTGATGTTTTGTTGCTTGGGTTGTGTATGTATATGACATGTTTTCTGTTTGGTCTGATTATCGTTTAATCTTGTTTGTAAATAGAGGGTTTCGTTTGGGGGTGCATGGGCTGTACCGATCATCAGCCCTGAGTATTGTAAAGTGTATCAGGAATACTCGTATGGTAGGGCTGCACGATATTGGCATTAAAAAATGGCATTGCGATATTTTATTTTTCCACGATATATATTGTGATATATAAATACAATTTGTCCACGTGACTTGAATAGCTCTATTTGGAAAGAAGGAGTCATTCTAGAATGACTGGGGTGGTTTTGTCATGGAGTAAATCCGCATAAAAACTTATATTACTCATGTAGTTTTTATTAATGTAGTTAACTAGACTTTAATAAATGCGACCGTATTGTAAAGTGTTTCCGATTGATGTCTCTTGAGTTCAGTGTTGGATAGATGAGTTGTTTTAACCATTCATTAAAGTGAATCGGTTCAAATGAGTCATTAGTTCTCGAATCAGACGTGTCATTAACGGACCACGGCACACGTTGTGTGATTATCCAGGCAGTTTAGGACATCGCACAAGATTTGTGTCAACACAGAAAACATTTCATCACTGGACAGAATTTTTTTTATTTTTGTGAAAGTGTGGTTTATGTCATCTACATGTGTGGAACGCTTTTCAGAGAAGATTAGGCAACTCTATTTCAGCACAATTCACAACCAGTGGTAGTTTTCCCACCTTTTACCGCCATGGATTCTCAAAGATATTCAGTCATCTGCACTACTTCCTGAACTTCAGCCAGCTCCTTGTTTCCTGTCTGCCATTTTGGGACAAATTGATTAATTTAGGTGTGCCTGACCTCAGTAGTCACGGCAACAATAATCAGACAGGAACAGCAGACAGGAAACAAGAAGCTGGCTTAAGTTCAGGAAGTAGTGCATCTGTGCATAAAGCCCATTCACTAATATGAGGGAGAGAGGGAGAGAGAGCGTTTGAGGACGGTGAGAGTGTGCGTGCGCGACCGCGGCTTTCACTCGCTCAGTTAAACGAGCGCAGAAGCTCATCGTCATCGTTCACCGGTTAAACTTTGGCGGGACAAAAATGTGCTTTAGTAAGGCTGACAGACTTTAGCTATAGTTGTAAATGTTGTCTGACGTGCGTTATGTGGGCTATTAATTGCTCAATAAAAATAGGCTCATGGTACAAATTGACCCTGCGTCCCAATTCGCTTACTTATACTACGCCCTAAAAGTATGTACTCTTTTTGTGAAGAAAAAATACATACTTTTGAGTATGTAGCTTTGGGACGTACTATCACGTCATCTTTAACGGACGGCTCTGTCGCGTGCTGCGTGTGTCCTGTCACCGTAAACTGCCCTGTCAATCATCCTGTCACCGTAAACTGCCCTGTCAATCATCCTGTCACCGTAAACTGCCCTGTCAATCATCCTGTCACCGTAAACTGCCCTGTCAATCATCTTGTTACAGTTAAAATCCTCCATTCAATCTAATTTGATTTCCTACCGTTTCGGGAGCACGTTCATCTGCCAGTCATGGGTATTGAGGATACTCTCCTCGTGTTTTGCAATTTGAATATAATGATGCATTTAAAAACTAATGGCTAAACGTATCCTTACAAAAGTTCACAATGCTGCTGCAGAAGCAATATAATGTGGACAACATTGAATACATTAATTTTCGTCAGGCCAGATAGTGTTAATTAATCACTCAAAGCTCTTTATCTAAACCTCTCAACATAAGTGCGGGACTCCGTGTCTGTAGTTTTTGAACACTTTTTACTCGTGTTTGTAGTTCTCTAACCGAATCCTCGTCCAACGGGCAATGGTTTGTGGGCAATATCAGCCGTTAGAGTGTGCATCGATCTACACTTCGGATTCTGACCGGAAAAAGTAGACCATCCGGGTATCTTTGAAACACTCATTTCAACATACTACGGTTTGGGACGCACTAATTCTATTTTCGAATACTATTTAGGACGGATAGTATGCGAATTGGGACGCAGCATACGTTTTGGCAATCGGACCATTTTATTGACTAGCTTGTTCGATCTCATTCATTAAAATGAACAAATCTTTTTTCGAGACGTTTCTTTCATTTAAAGGGCTTTAAATGTTATACTTGCTTCTAACAGCCAAATTCCCCGAACACATCGACCTATGCAGTCTTTATCATATTCTGAATTAAGAAATCATTATAATGCAGTGAAAAATCATTTACAGGGAACCTAAATAATTACTTTACCTTCCGACTCGACGTGACAGACGCAATGAACGGGTCGAACCCTGCTTCGGATGCAGAGCTCTAGCGGAGGCCGCGATCGGGCCAAGCTGTGGCGTATAAAACAGGCCTAATCTGTCAAACATGGGGCAGAGGTGGAGTTACTATTATACATTTTTTGAGATTTCTTATTGTTTAGATGTTGTTGTTTTACATGTTTGTTATTTAATCAGCTATATCTTTATTTTTTTTATAGTGCACTCAATAAATTAATTGTACATTTTGAAAAAAAAAAAACGTTTCCATTCTATTTGTTGTATAAATCAGGGTTTATAGTAAGTAAACAAGGACTGATTTTTTTTTTTTAAATTAGGGTTAGGGTACCAAAAATGTCTCAGCGCACTGAAATGTTAGTTTCACTATAGCCAAAGTCCCAAAGTTGGCAATCCTGGCTAACCATTCAGGCTCCTTCATCTGTGATCTCTACAAGAAGATTATTGTACTCCAGTGTGGACTCATGCCTATATGAGTTTATGTTCAATTATATATTTTCTTAGATGAATGTTAGTTTTGTTTGATTTATATTACAAAGGGGATAAATACTTTAAAATACAAAAGGTGGATGAAAGACTTCAGATGATCAACTCCTGCGAAGACTTCAAATGCAAAATCTGAATCAAGTTTATCAATGCTAACAATTTTCTAAATGTCATAATCATTTGTTGACAAACAAGTATTCATTACTTCAACGAGATCATTGTTTCTGCCTTAAAGTTTTACATTGTTTAAATGAGTACATTTTAGCTAACTGTGATTTTTGTATATGTACATTTCTGAAATGCGTAACTTGGACGTTACCTCTAATAGCAGATCACTCTAAACTGTAATGCGGACTCAAGCATTTTCTGTAAAGCTGCCTTGAAATGATGTGTATCGTGAAGAGCGCTATACAAATGAATGTGAATTTAATTAAATGTATAATGTTAAGTGTCCCATGGGTGTCGGGTAGGGGGAGTTTTAAAAATAGTGGTTAACATTTTTGAATCACAAATTCATATTTCTTCTTTGTAAGTTATTGAAGGAATACAAATGTATTAAATGTATAATTTAGGTTCCAATACAATAGTATAAACTGAGAAATGGTCTGTACATTGTATTTAGCATTGAGCGGTTGAGCACGCGCTTCCTGTCCTGAACTGTTTCTCTTTTAAGTAAAATGACTGAAACTCTCGTGAGCTTTTGTCTCAGCAAAAGAGAGTCCTGGCATTCCTGTTCTTGAGTCTCAGTGTTTGAATGAGTTATCACTCTCAGTTTCAATACAGGTTTCCTAACCCTGTATACTAGTTTGCTCCACCTCTATGTAAATCCCTCCCCCTAAATGTATAAAGTAAAAATTCCCTTAGTCAGACAATTTTTGAGATGACTACAGCGAGGCAATAAAGAACTTCTGCGTGAAAGATACCTCAACGTCTCATGGTCTACGCCACTTTGGAAGAAAAAGTTCACTGTCAAAAGTTATTGTTTACCTGATTATTTGTACCTGATTTTAAGGTTTGTTTGTTTAAAAAAAAAAAAAAAAAAAAATTGTGTAAAAAGTATGATGCAACATGAGCAGATCTAAATTTAATCCTGCAGTCAACACTTAATTTCATAATTAGGGCCCTAACAGTGCGAGGACCCTATTGAAACTATTGAAAGGGTTATTTTTTATTTATTTATTTATTTATTTTTTTTCCCTGCAAAGTAAGCAGCATTTTCGGGGCCGCAACATGCTCAAAAACTCACCATTCCAACTCATTTGGCACGCATGTCAGGACTGGTGAAAAATTTTGTATTTTGTGGGTTTTGCGGATGGGCGGGGCAAAATGGCTCGCTAGCGCCATCTAGAAAATTGAGAAAAATTAGCCCCTCGTCCACGTTCAACCTACATGCACGAAATTTGGTGGGGATGTGTATCATTTCAAGACGCACAAAAAAGCCTCAAGAATCCATACCCTAAACTCGACAGGAAGTCCGCCATTTTGAATTTGGCGACCGATTTGGGACGATTTACACACTCCGTACTTTAACGAACTCCTCCTAGGGATTTAGTCGGATCAACTTCAAATTTCCTTCTAAAGGCATTGACTATGTAAAGTTGTGCTATCTGCGTGTTTTCGTCGATGGGCGTGTGTGTGGCGTTGATGATTCGCCATGAAACAGGAAGTTGTAGTAACTTGGCTGTAAATGCCCAGATCTGCACGAAATTTTACACATTTGACAAGAGTCCCGCCCTGAACAAATCTATATTCTGACATTCACCCACAGTCATAGCGCCACCTGCTGGCAACAGGAAGTGACCTTTAATGAAGCACCGTAGCAAATTCACAGCCGCAACGGCTGAGCTGCAAAATATGCAACGCGGCCGCCTCACACCCCGACGCGCTACAGGTGCGAGGGCCCGCCCATTGCTGCTTGCAGCTTTAATATTATTTATATATTGTGCATAGGCACTTTTGGCCCAAGTCCCTGTTGATTTCCGACTCGTGGCCCAGCCTTGCACACACACACTCCTCCTATGATTTACTCGTAATTAGAGGCTAGACCTTTGGGAAATTCTGTAAAGCTACAGTGAGGAGAATGCAGAAGGCTATGTCAATCCCTCCTAGTTTTAAGACAGATCCAAGGACATTTATGCACAGTATGTAAAAATCAGTTGAACCATTAGCAGCAAACCGATTCACACGATGCAGCTAACCTGTGGTGCCGGGTTTGGTGTGTTGTCTAAGTGCTGTGAAGGAACTCTTGTCCAGGCCTTTATTGAGCCGCTGTCTGGGAGGAGGAGAGGCTCTGGGCCGACGGCTCAGCTGTAGGCTGCTCCACGGACCTCTATGATGCCTCTGGTACCTCATTGCAAAATTTGGACGTTGTAAAAAACGCTCCTCCATAGTCCTGAAAAACCTGAAGCTAAGAAAAAGAGAAATTATCATGAGATTGTTATCTGAACAGATTTTTCTTCAGGTAGCTAACAGTTATTAATTAATAGCTATTTCTTATCCTGTTGGTTCTGATGGGCTCTAACTTGTTATCAAAACGGACACTACGTAGAGCTCACAAGATAATTGCTGATACCTGTCACCCTGCACACAACGCCTTCCAGCTCCTGCCCTCTGGGGGGCGTTACAGGACAATCGCCGCTTTAAAAACAGCTTCTTTCCGAAAGCAATCAACATTTTGAACTCTGAACGCTGAGGACTGGATTAAGCACGACCTGTTATCCCTTATGCCTATGTATGTTTTGTGTTTTGTATGTATATGTATGTATGGTATTGTATTATACATGTTTAATGTTCAATGTTAATGTATTTTCTGGAACCTACACCCAAGAAATGATGGAATTGACCACAACATTCTTTTAAATAGACAAATGATGTCGGCATTAGTGGAGCTGCATTAGCATGGTTTAAATCACAATTATCTGAGCGTTATCAGTTTGTAGCAGTAAACGAAGAGATGTCTTATCCATCACAAGTTCAGTATGGCGTACCACAAGGCTCAGTACTAGGACCGCTGCTGTTCACTCTGTACATGCCACACACACACACACACACACACACACACACACACACACACAGTCTGTACATGCTACTCATAGAAGATATCATTAGGAAGCATGGCATTAGTTTTCACTGTTGTGCTGATATATGCTATGCTGACACTCAGCTCTATATTTCTTCATGCCCTGACGAAATGCACCAATTCACAGAAATTCACAAAATGATCAGAATGTATAGGTGATATAAAAAATGGATGCCTAGTAATTTCCTACTACTTAATTCTGCCCCCCCCCCCAAACCCCTCCCACCCTTCTGTAGGCCAGAAATCATGGCTCAATGACACACTGGAGCCACTGATCATGGCCCCTCTCCTAACCCGATAAGTAGAGCGCTTTAGCATCAGTGCTTCGCACTCTCAATCGCGAGTTACTGTCATTACTGTTCGTTACTACAGCCTAAAGTTTGCTAGCTAGCTATGCCTTTGTCACATAAAAGCTTATTACCTAGTTGCGATCATTTACAAAACAGCTCGATCTCCTTATTAAAATTTATGAAATCAAGATGTGGATTCATTTTATGAAGAGCCACCTTGATTAAGAGCTGAGGATCAACACCAATACCTGCGTCTACAGTGAACATGCCATCGTTGGCAGTACTTGCCCACCCATGAGTGCAGTTCGTGCCCACCAATGAGTTTAGTGTGTACCCACCAATGAGTTTATTACGTGCCCACTAAATTAGTGCAAGTCTACTCTCCCTTCTTGCAACCAACGAAGACAGGTTAGCTAAAATGACTCCACTAAGAGAGTAGTCAACATTTTATTTCAAGAGTTTGCAAAATGTATTCAAGCTTAACCTTATTTTTTTACATATTCTTACCGAGAACGAAAATATTTTCCCTCAAACCTTGGTCGATAGAGGTGGGTGTACCGGGAGGGACTCCTTATTCTCTGGATGTGTCTTTTCTTGTTCTGAAAAATATAAAAATTCTATTTTAAATGACATTCAGAAATGCAAAATCATCAATTGAAGAATGCTATTTTCAAAAATCGACAATTCAATACTCCAGACAAGATTGCCGAAAAAAACAAATAAGCATGTTAAAAACACATTAGGGTTAAGCAATAATATTTTAATCATATCTTCAAGTTTTAATGTTTAATCAGTATTTTATTAGCCTACTGTGAAAAATAATTATTCCATAAATAATACATTTAAAAGATTGATTGAACTAAAAACTGTCTGTCCTTGCAAAGATAATCTGTATAAGAATATTGTTTATGTTTAGCCATTTTCCTTCCACATTTCTTGTAAGGTGAGATGTATCACACGTTATCATATATTATACCATGGTCTGGGTGAATACTCGATTCTGATTGGCTGCAGGGTGTCCGTTAAAAAGCGATAGAGGACGCCTAGTAAAGTAGTTCTGGTGAAACTGCCTGTTTACCATTCGAAATTTATAAATAAATGCGCTGCCTACAACGGCTGTGAGTAACCATAGCAACAGGCAGTCAAACGCTCTATCAAAACAAACATCTAACGTTAGATACTATAGCCTAATACAACAATGAGCGACTTCGTTATTTCTTTTAACATTTATGGAGAATATGGCAACTTTGACGACTGGTATGCTGTAGGTCGACTCTCCGATGCTGGACTGGAGAGCCGTCAAATAATGTCGGTGACGGGCCATCGATGCGAGAGCAGTCTGCGGGCTTACTGGACTCCGTCTGTCCGTGAGAGACGAAGCTGGAGCAACGTACTGTCTGCATCAGTGCCCATCATGGGCAGCAGTAACGACGTTACCCAGCTTTTGAGGATCCTCCTGACTGGCCGACTTTTTCCAATTGCACTATAAATGGAAACGTTGAAATTAATTGTAAATGAAAAAGCTAGCATGTAGGCAAATGACCCTCTTTGCTCTGATTAATTTATTGCCCTCTATAAGCGCATATCGCTGGTGCTCAGAACTAATTGTTTTTTTTTTTTTTTTGAATAATTGTTTTATGTGTAATAAAAAAATAACTATGCCTACCTTAGTGTTTCATGAAAAAAAAATGCATTTTTGAAACTGAAGGCTTCTACAAGCTGAGCGGACTATAAATCTCCGGTTGCTAAATAAACCGTCAGGCAAGTTATTATTTGTAAAAACTAGATTTAGCCTAATTAAAATATAAACTAATGTTTTAAAAATGTTTTATTTGGCACGTGACCATGGTATAAGCGGGTTAATGCCCTCCGAGGTGTCCATTGTCAGGTTTTAATGGACTTCGGCGGAGGCAACCGTCCTCCGCTGCGCGTCGGCCGGTTCACGCCTCGCCGTCGTCCCTTACGAAACCCTTACGAAAACTACCGTTTTCTCAGAATCCCGAAGCCAGGCATTTCAGCCCACTGAAAAGCGTTGGCAATCAATAAGGCCAGGAAAAAATGCCCAATCCAAATGTTACTTGTGTGCCTATCGCCTGTCTGACGCAAGCTTGCATTGAACCGGCTATTCCAGTGGCGTAGCGTCTCGGTATGCAGGGTATGCACGTGCATGTGGGCCCGGGCTGATTGGGGGCCCACCCATGGGGATTTTTTTATTAAAACCAGGTAATTCATTTTTAAAGTGTAGCCACAATAAATATATTTTTGTATGCATGTCATGATATATTTCTCTAACGTTTTATTTTTATAGGAGTGTGGTGAGTCATTATTTCGACCTCTGTGCTTGCGCTAGCCATGGAATAGTGGCTAATGGGTGAATATGGCATGAATGGTCTACATTCGCGAGATGGACGTATGCGCATTAGGCTATTCGCTCTGTTTTCTTTCTGAACAGTTAGGCTATGTTTAGGTGGTATTTTTCATGTTTTTATCACGCAATCATGTTTTTGATGCGGTGGTGACGCTTGTAAAATGTAATGGTGTGTTCACACCGAACGCGAATAGAGCATCAAATACGCGTTAGACGCTTAAACATTAGCTCGAGTTCAAATTTTTCAACTTGCGCGGAAGACATTTGTGGCAAACGTGTCGCCCAATTCGCAACGCCCGGCGTGAATGATGCATCTATTCGCGTCTTTGCATTGAGTTTGTATGTAATTAAATTCGCGTTCGGTGTAAACACAACATTAAGGGTAGCGGCGGCGATAATAAAAGCACCTATAAGCTGTCACAAAGAACCGGCAAAAGCAACAATTATGGATATGTATGTCAAATATCAAGGAGACATTTTAATTTTTTATTAAAGGTGCCATCTGACATAATAAATCAAATCCTACTCCATATTCCATAACAGATGGGGGCAGTATACCTCCAGAAAATGAGTTGTGCTCCTACCATCGCGCATGTTATTCAAATCATTTGACATGATAGTAACGTTAAAAGGTTGGAAGACCGCAGTTTCACGTGGAGCATTTGGAGATTTTTAGAGATTAGAGACTCAATGAACAACATCTCAACACTAAATGATGAAGACCGACTCATAGACGCCTGTCTCAAAAACAAGCTGGTGCATTTCGACGATATGGGAAAATAAAAGCTTAGGCAATTATTTGAAGTTTATGGTATTCGTTTTGTTCATATTACACTTTTATTGTTAGTTTGAATTAATTTGACAGACAGCATTCGCTGATGTTGATCAAGCTAGCGCCATTCAGAGCTGCCAACTCTTAAGGAATTCACTGTGAGACACACGCAATTGACACTTAGCAAGCAGGTTAGTTAAGCTCTTGGATTCTGTCAATTTTATTACACAATTCAAAGAATAAATACCGTTTTGGCGCTTGTACATGTTACACCACAGATCCCTAGCGCACGTGAACCGATCGTCTCTACTAGCTAATGGAAAAAGAACATGAACTCTGTTGAAAGATACAGTATGCTACAACTTACCAAAATGTATTCCTCATGCAGTAATGTCGACCAATCATTTATTTAACTCATCCCTGAACTGAAATGTAGTAGTGGGCTGTATTTCCACACGACTGACATCAGGTTCAGGTACACACACAAGCCGGCGCTAGCGCGACTCACTCGTGTACTACGGCTGGTGGTAACGTTGCCCGCCCGCATACCGCCTCCCATGGCCGAAACTGGTATTACGACACCTGCCGGGCCGGGGCTAGTAATTTAGCATGCTAATTCAGGTTAATATCTCGGCAGCACTACAACTTGTCAGCTTTTTAATGACATCATCAACCTTATTTCTTCTCATTCTTTTGATGCATGTAGCTCATTTTTTGGATATTTTTACCTCAATTATTCCATATGGCACCTTTAACTAGTCGACGATGCTGATACGCGATCTTCGCAGTAGGCTAGTGGATGCCAGAGAGAAATGCTCATTTCATAAGCAGAGAGCAATCTGTTTGGTTTAGTTTCGTTTTGAATTGTTTTGTTTACAAGTTGACATTTCAATATAGATATACGTTTCAGGTCTATGGAGTAGCCTAGTTGTACGCTGGGTTTATATTTATGAGACGCTCAAGTTCAAACACCGTCATCTGCGTGTCGTGATTATCTATTGTTTGCTTTTACTACTTAAATCCAGGCAATTGGTTGATGAAACATTGATTAAAATCAAGATAAAATTGAAATGAAAACGAAATTAACTTAAAATAAAGGCTTTGTGCTTTTCTGTGTGAGGTCTGTGGAAGTTTAGATCCGTCTTTTAGTGCCGCTCAGCGCCCACGTCCAAATAACGGAAAACTGTCATGTCTACTCATTACTCACCTGCGTAACTTACTAATGGGCTCTATGCACGGTGGTATTTCCGGTGAAGGTTTAAGGATGCTCGATAACTTCCGCCGATCATAGTCCAATGCAATACCGAGAATTTATATTTAATTTTATACTCCATGGTTATACTAAAGAAACGTTAGTCACAAAAACAGATAAAACAGACACCCCTCGTTCTGTTTATGCTTCTTTTTAAAATTATATAAACATAACTATATATAAAATTACATCTAAACGTATGTACATTTCGTTTCAAAGACGGGAGGACAGTAAATTTTGAAGCCATAATCCCGTTTTCCTCGGTTTGCCTCCGCTTTAATCTCCACAACCGGAAATGGACGAGCATCCTTGCGTCAAATGCGGAACTTATGCGTGCATATAGCCCATTGGAACCTACAACAAGATTTGTGATTCGAACATGTTTGTTTTAAGTTTTTGCTCAAGTTTTAACGGTCATTTAATTAATACAAATATTATAACACGTTTTAACGCAATTGGTATAGTTTGTAGACGTTCCCTTAATCATTCTCGTGTATGCAGCTATAAGGTTATTTTGAATTGATACTGTAATGTCGATACACAGGTTGCAATCTTTGTATTGATTAGTATTCTTTGTAAGGCTGCCGACTGTATAGAACAATGGTAAAGGAAAACGAATGTCCAGAGAATTTCGAACCTAAAACTAACTTTACAGCGCTCCTAAAGAGAAATATGTTTTACTCGTTGTCATCCTAAGCCTATCCATATCAATGGTTCCGGCCATGGTCATATGTGTTGTGCATAGGAAGATGAACTAAACAGGAAGGTATGACCTGGGTGTAACTGACGTGACTGAGGCTCAAACATAATCAACACGCACTCGAAATAAAAAAACAGTTGAAGTAGGCTAATCCTTCTAAAACATTAACGTCCTGTTTCTGAGAGACGTCATTACTGGGATTCTATATTTAATATTGAACATTCTGAACGCTAACGGATAGCTACAACAGCTTGTAATGATGGTGTTGTTGCTGATGTTCAGGTGCGAAATGAATCATTCATACCGTTTTACTGCAATGAACGGGATCTCCTGAACGCCTGTCCATCCTGTCCGACGTTTTCCAGTTTAATTGATCGATTATTGTGTTTTCTTAACAAGAACACGAGCTCCGCCAAAATATGTTCCAACTCGACTTTCACTTTCACTTTCTATTGTTGTGGTGTCGCTGCTGCTGTCTAAAGTTAGTTTCCTTGTGTGGAAGTCTGGCATGCTCTTCAGTGCGAACACGTCTGTTTTCAGCTGTCCTGGACGGGGCCAAATGTTTTGTGGCAGCTTGTTTGTGCTTCAAAATAAAGTTTAAAAAGAATTAAAGGCATTTAAAAGCTTCCACCACAGACAGGGTTTAATTAGCCTATTTATGTCCTGAAGTTCCCTGTTAAAAATATTCAGTTGTTGTTTTATTTTTATTTTATTTCTTTCATTTGGATGGGACAGTGCATATTGATGACTGACAATATAAGTTGATGTAAATATACTGGATTTAGCGCAATGCTTTCCATCTCTAGTCCCAGACATGGAAAAAACAACTAACAGACAGAGCTAAAAAAAGAAATAAAAGTAGGCTACCTTAAGGTATAATTATTTAAAGTGTGTATTTTAAAATGCCTGTGCAGACATACCAAAATGCTTGTTATAAATCTATAAATCTTCTCTATTGCACTGAGTAAATTAAACAAGGTATTGTTTGTTGAGTGCGTGTACCTAAGATTGTCGGGATTACTTAGATTAATTTTGTAATGTAAAAATATGCACATTGTCTTGTGTTTTGAACAAATGAAGATAAATTCAAAACCAGATATATTATTTAAAGATACAAACGTAACATTTTATTGTTAATATCACATATTTTAATTACATAACATTTACATGCACTCAGAATTATTTTTTGTCAGTGTAGCTTCCGGCAGATGACAGTACGCATCAGATAAGGCCTAAAGAGTAACACTTGAACTTGACACACAACGTAATTACGAATGCGGATGCCCAGCGCAAGAGACTCAAAGCTTATGTGTCACCAAGTGTTACTCGTGGCGTCAGTCGACTTGCGTACGACTCTGCCGGAAGCTAGTAATTTTAGTCGCTAAAGTTTTAAATATCAATAGTAAAAATTAAAAATGTCACAAACACAACTCTGCCTGGCATTTATTTGTGAACCGCTTTCTGTGCATTTGCAAATCGCTGCACACGTTTGTTAATCGCTTCTTGTGTCAATCACCTCAGGCTTCTGTGGAGTTTAAAACACTTCTAGTGTTGATGTACAAACAAATCTACAAATAAGTGGACTCCACCCTCGGTTACTCAAGCCAATCAGATAATGGACATATTGAGCTGGCCAATCGTAGCACATTCTCAATACAACCAGTCGCGTTAGGCTTTACACACAGGGGAGATCTTGAACTTTGAAATAAATGAAATAACTCTGAATTAACTTTGCTCATTTATCTGCTTTGGCTCAAATAGGATGTCAAAGGCCCAAAAATTGCTATAGTAAAATAAATTTGGATTTTGTTAGACCATTAGTCTGTGTATCAAGCACAGATCAAGCCACAGTTCTAGCCTTTGAAAATGGCAAAGAAACAGTGTTTTACATCTGTTATGGGAGCGTCACGTTATTCAAGATGGAACAGAAAAGCATAAGTAGTGGAATAATGAGTTACTTCAACCTTGTGATAAACACTTGAGTTTGTGTAAGGTGAAATTACAACTGGGATTAATATTCTGCCATGATTCAAAAGTAAAAATAAAGTTCTGAAAGGTTGAAAATAAGTGTTAAAAAAATCTTAATCTTACAAAAAAAGGTTTTGCAAGATCGAAAAATAAGATTTGCAAGCTTGCAAAATCTTATTTTTCTGATGGTGTTGCACAAACAATTTTTCAGACTTTCGGATTTGTCAGTGTTCTCCCACTGTATCAGTTTGTTTTCCAGGTTTGAAACCTTGTAAATGGTGATCTGAAAACTGTTGTGCGAATGTGTGAAAAAAGTTTTGAAACTCTGGAAGCAGAGTTTTGCCGGCTTGCAAAGTAGTAAAAAAAAAAAAAAATCTCTCCAAACATAATTTTGTTTTTGAGTTTTCCTTCTTGATAAGTGCAACACTCTTTTTCACGGTGTTGAGCAATGATTTTTTTCAGAGTTTAGGGTAAAGAAAAATGTAATGCTTGTTATTTGAGGGAGCTGTGTTAATTGCTGGGCCGAGACAGCCACTGTAAACCGATATAAGCTCGAGGAGATCAGGACAAAACCCTACGGTGGCCGAGAGGTGCAAAACAAATCACAATTATAAAAAAAAAAAAAAAAAACAAGTCAGAAAACACAACGACAATTCAGAAAACAAAATAACAATTCAGAAAACACAACAACAAATCTGAAAACAAATTAAAAAATCCGAAAACACAAAAACAAAGCTGAAAACAAATTAACAAGTCAGAAAACACAACGACAATTCTGAAAACAAATTAACAAGTCAGAAAACACAACGACAAGTCAGACAAAACGGAAAAGGTAGGTATATGTGGCGAATGGAATACTGATCGCTGATTGGACGAGACATCTGTCAATCAAGACATACAGGCAGAAGAACGATCGATTCGCGTGTGGATGTGTAAATATTAGCTGTATCGTCTAGGGATTTTCAATTGGCGGCCAGCGGACCAAGTGCGGCCCGCCAATCATCTCCATGCGGCCCGAGAGCACTCCAACCTCACCCTCCTATTTTCTGGTGGTGCGGCTAAATTTGGTTTGATATGCGCGTGGCCGCAGCTGGATGACTATAGGCTACGCACTGTGTGTGTACCACGAGCGCTCCGTCTGACCTGAGAAAAACGTTTTCAGTCCGAATATTTCAGCAGTTATTATGTGTCCCATATTTCTGTCGACTGAACCAGCGATATTAATCATTCGTTGGTTTGATTCCTATCTCCTTTTCACGAATTGCCCAAACAAAATTCATATCCAATTTTATTTTCAAGTCGACAAATTTATAATAATTAAATTGAATGCTGTATTTTAGAGTGTAACAGAGACTAGGCCATTATAATCCAATTTTGGAAATCATATAGGTGCCATCTGGTGGAGGCAGTGAACATGTCAGCTCTGTAAAGAAAGATCATTTATATATATATATATATATATATATATATATATATATATTGCACATATATGCCTATTTTTTTCAGGTTGTGGGTTTTAATATTTATAAATAGATTTTCAAAAAACTATTTTGTGAAGTTTTTTTTGCTATGTTTGGTGTAATCCTCTGATCAACCAATGTTAGGTATGCTACTTTGCGGAGTGTTATGGTAAACTCAGTCTCCTGCAGGTCTATATATAAAACCACATGTGCCTGTATCAGATGAGGGTTAGTCAGCAGAGGTGTGTTTGGCAATGTGGAAAAGTTTTAACAATGTGTTAAAAAAACAATTCTTTTGTGGGGTTTCTTTTCTTGTTAATGTGCATGTGTACTCTTGTTTTATGGTGACTGCGATTTTTTTTTTTTAGTAATGGTTTTTGCATTATGCTTTTAGTTATTATGCCGGTTCTATTTTTTCGAAAATTTCTGTCTCCCAATTTGCTTCCTCTAGATGTCTCTCAAGGGTAGCATGTACTGAGTGAAGAGCAGCGGTCCTAGTACTGAGACTTGTGGTACTCCATACTAAACTTGTGATCTGGTAAAATTAGAATGTTAAATAAATTATATAGGAATTATAAATAAACAAATACAAAATGAAATTATAAGCAAGCAGCCCGTCACGGACAACACATCACATCGTAAAATGAGGCCTGTTCCTCTCTCCAGTGTCGTCGCTCCTCCTTTATGCCTCCGCTCGTCCGGGAGAGATGCGAGACAGATGTGCGTCTCACAGGTGTCGTTTGTGGTGTTGTCTAACAGGGACATTTAATATTCAACAATATTATTGCTCTGTGTTGTATTATTTTCATGTCATCACTGTGAAGCTGCTTTGATACAGTCTGTATTGTAAAAAGTGCTATATAAATAAAGGTGACTTGACCCAACAAACCCTAACCCTTTCTTACAAATAGAATTGGATTAATAATAAAAATCTCAGCTCCTCAACAAGATATGTTTAATGCTTTCTGTGTTATATCATCCCAAACACATTATGGACTTAGAATTATAATCAAACATCCATTTATAAAAGAAAGTAATTAAAAGAAAGTTCCAATCCAGTGTTGTGCACTCGAGACTCGGTCTCGAGACCATATTTTAATGGACTCGGTCTTGTCATGGACTCGTGTGCATTTTGACTCGGATTTGACTCGTACTCGAACACATTGGGAGTCGGGACTCGGACTTATTCCCGAGTCCACTCGAGTCCCATTCAAAATATGTCATTATTATTACTGTATGTTAATATTTCTTTAAATTGTTGTTTGATTGAAACGTCCAATGATTGCTGACTTTCTTGTGCGGAACTGCGCATAACTTGAGACTATAACGTTCGTGACGCGCAAATGCAGCAGGACCCAGGTCAGATATGACGTGGAGCCTCTAGCTCAACTATGTATTGAAAATGTCTGCTTTATCATGCATAATTCAGTTTGCATATAAGAGCCACACAGAATTCATGTGCAGTAATGTTCTGTAAAAGAGCACTGACTGATTGTAATAATTGTAAGTTATATTTATAATAAAATTACCTTTACACCACTATGTGGCGTTTTTACCATTACAGTGTACATGATTCAATGGTATATTTGGTTTACTGTTTCAGTATGGTGCCAATTTTATTGTTACCAGCAAATATTTGACATATTCTTGAAGATATCTTTGAGACCCAACCTTAGGTTATCCAGGTTATACTCTGGTCTCGGTCTCGACTTGGACTCGGCTCTCTTTGGTCTCGGTCTCGACTCGAGTGAGCTGGTCTCGACTACAACACTGTTCCAACCCACCTTTCATATGAATCCTGGCAAAGAAAGCTAATGGCAAACGAGCAGATCTGGAGACATCGTCACATCAGCCTGACTCAATGGAAAACATAAAAATATCAGATAAAATACTTTTTACATGAATCAGGTTATGGATCTTTCTCAATATCAACATGAACACAATAGTATATTTTTGTCGAGTCTTTTTGTAACATCTCTTACTTCACAATTGAATTAAAACAGAAACCCAGCCAATGCGACAGCTAGAACCAGTGGAAGAACCAGATCAGCTTCTGGAATGAGCTTTTATATCTGTGCTGAGGTGCATGTGGGGAACTGGGAGAAACCAAGTGTAGAAGATGAAGGGGAATGTTTGTTTAAAAATGTAACAGTTTTTCAATGAGGAAACATGTATTCATGTTTTTTTTTAATAATAATTTGTGAATTAGGCTGTGTACAGAAAGTTTATTATATTGAGATTTGGTGGTTTGTTGAATTGTATTCCTTGTTGTTTGCGTTCCTGTCAGTGGTTTTGCCCATCAGTATAAATGCCCACAGGATGATCCTGCAGGATTGCCAGTCTGGGATGTAGTTTGGAGAGGGAAGGTCCAACTGAAGTGAAGGTAAGATAGTTATTGGTTTTTATTGTTGATTATTTTTCACTTGTACTTAATTGGTCTTGTAGACCTCTACCCTTTCTGTATGTTTATATTTTCATTTTTGAAACTTTAATGCAGTGCAGCTTAAATGTAGTGATTGTAAACCAAGGCTTTCTGAAGCATTTTTAGGCTTTCATCAAATTGTGCCACTCCTTGATCCCAGTTTCACCGTCTTCATTAACACAACACAGCTGAACCTCATGAACTAGTCAGTTCTCCGTTCTCTCCCAGTTAGTTACTATGGTTACTGTCGTTGGGTTAATTTACCCCAGCTGTGTCTCGTTTCCTTGATCTGTTATCTGTGTATTTAAGCCCTCTGTTTCTCCCTGGTTGCATTACTTTAAGTTCTAGTTGATGTGTGTGGTTCTCCTCGTGGATTCTTCTGTTCACTGGTCCATTAAAGTCTCCTGACGTTATCTCCATCGTCGGGCGCTTTAATACATCCACCATTTTGTAAGTGACATTTATGAGCACATCTTTTATTTACTGTTTTACACTTAATTTGGCTTTATTATTTAAGTGTTAAAATATTTCACTTTATCTGATTTCACACAGATTTTTGGATTTTTTTTTTAAAAAATTATTACTGTTTCTTTAATTTGGTGTATCATGTTAACTGTTCTTTTTCCTCTGTAGATCTGAGATGTAAATGGGTCTGATGTGAACTCTCACTGAGATCGGATCGTTTGTGCGGTTATTTTATGTCCAATGATCCATTTACAATCTGTTCTGTGTTTTTTTAAACACCTGTATTCCAGATATACCCTCTGTTGCTCTAATGAATTAACTTAATTTGATGATTTTGTTCCAGTGAGCTCTTGATTGGAATGAGTACTGCATGTGTGAGTGATCTGATTTGTGTTTTTGCAGGAGCTGTTTAGGGATATAAAGGCATCTGAGTGAGTCAGAGTTCAGATACAGAGGGTTGCCACACATGTAGTGACCGGTGAAGTTCAGGTGAGGTCCATTCATCAATGTGCACCCTAAATAACTCAAAGAATGATGTGTTCACTGATGACCGCTTGTTAATGTCAATTTGTTAACTTGCTTATTTTGCCAACATAATCAATACTATTCTTTGTAGTTTGCGGTTTAAATGCTTGTCTGTTATGAGTGTTTCTCATGACCTCCACATGCTCTAAAATGGAGTATTAGCAGATCCTTTGTATATCTTCTGAAGCCCTCCTTGTGTGGAGACTCGAGACTTATTCTTCTTTCCATGTGCTCTTCTCTGCACTTCATGTTGTATTAAACCTTTCCTTTTGCACCTCGCACTGTTTTAACCCTAATATTAAGTCAAGTCACATTTATTTATCTAGTGCTTTTCACAATACAGATTGTATCAAAGCAGCTTCACAGTGATAACATGGTAAACAAACTTTTAGGTAAACAAACTTTTATTTTGGATGCAATTAATCATGATTTGATTCACAGCCCTATTATATGAATTGACTATTTATTACATTGCCTGTTGTACTTCCTAATTTATGTATAGAAGATGATTATTGACAAATGTGTGTGAAACAAAGAAGCTGGCTTAATAACACTAATTGTGTTAAAAAAAAGATTATGCGTTAACTGTGTTGGCATTGTATTTTTATGGGTTGAAGCTCCTACCGAGCTGCTGGATCGGCGGTCAGCGCTTGAAACATCACGTGCCGATGTCCACAAGGTTAGTTACTCTTTGACTCTGACTTCGTCTACTCCATGCGTTTCTCTGCCCAGGAGGATGCGATCATCTCTGGCTTCATTCACTCCGGCACCGACACAACACCATGGACCATGATCACACAGCGGAAGACACGAGCCAGGACCAGAGCTAGAACCTCTCCGCCGCCCCTCCCGGTCTTGGAGATCTCCACCCGGAACCGCTTCTCCCCTCTTCACGAGTCGGAACGCGACGACGCCGTGATCATCGGCACGTCCATGGTCCGTCATGTCCGTGCTACCTCAGGTAAGGGTAAGGTGCGCACTCACTGCTTTCCTGGTGCTCATGTTCTTGATGTCGCTGCACAGGTTCCCGAGATCCTGAACGGTGACGAGTGCGTGGGAGCTGTCGTGCTGCACGTGGGTGTGAACGGCATCAGGCTGCGGCAGACGGAGGTTCTGAAGAAGGACTACAGGAGCCTGATCGAAACTGTACGCAGCACATCACCTGAAGCAACAATTATCGTGTCTGGACCGCTTTCCACGGACAGAAAAGGTTCACTGCTTTGAAAGGAGTGTTTCTCCTGGTTCCATCTCTTGGACTGATGTCTCTGCCTCTAAGGCTGTCTTTTGCCGTCCTAATACATGAGAATCACCCCATGTATATTCTTGTATAAAAATCTTGCTGGATTTTTCCTGGGCTTTTGCTGCTTTAGATTAGCCTATTTGGTAGACATATTAGTCTTTCCTTCATTCTTTAACTTATTTCTTATGCACATCTAACCCTTTCTGGGTATTTAAGTGTTTTCTAGATTATTTTTTTGGGGACTAAGTTTCTCTAGTCATCTTCTATTTGGTGATGTTTCTTTTTTTTTCAATAAGAAAATAAATTTCTAATCCTTAAGCATATCCACACACACACACACGCTATTTAGCAGGCGCTTAACTCTTCAATTACTGGCCAGAATTGAACAGTTAAAGCCCCACGTTGGGAGACATGTTTTACGATGTGTGTGCTTTAATCTTAACAACTTTAACCTTATTATTTATCATCCTCTTGTTAAGCAAGAACTGACCACAGAGAAGTCATCTGAAAAAATTCTAAGTACCATTCGAATGCTTATGACTTAGGGCAGATTTGACTTACTTGACCTAAGGTTTATTAACACTGCAAGACAATTACTTTTAATTAGCACAAGTTATTTATTAATATAAATATTCCAGAAATAAAAGTTACTGTAGGTTCAAACTTAAATTCTTTACGCTCAGTCTGGAATAGCCTTCCCGATATAGTTCGACGCTCTGACTTGCTGTCACAGTTTAAAACTAAACTAAAGACGCATTCACATACTGCTTACCTTTTATTCCTCTGAATCAGATCGAATGCATTTAATACTATAAAACTTGAAGAGTCTGTAGGTTACTTATAACCTATAAGTATAGTTTGCATAGTATTTACAGTCATTACTTTCCTGCGTGTATTGCGTGAATGATGGGTGGTTGGGCAGATATTGTGTTTTTGCAGTAGGTTTTATACCATACGGAACCGTTGTCACTTAAACGCATTACCGTGACAGTGGAGCTCGACCGCCTTAGTCAAATGGGTTGGTGCGTATGGTTGGGTTGTGGAGAGTTTGTGAGATTGTGGCTTTTAACAATCTAACTCCTGTGTAATGGAAATCGTTATGAACATCAGCTATGCTAATTATTTCCCATCTTTTTTTGCTGTTATCTCGGGACGCTTGTCCCGAGAAAAATGGTGTTCGTCAGCTCCAGTTTGTATCCAGCCTCTCCTGGAGACTTCAGATGCCCCAACGCCTGTGAAGAGACTACTCGACGCCTGAGGGTAAGGTGCGCACTCACTGCTTTCCTGGTGCTCGTGTTCTTGATGTTGCTGCACAGGTTCCCGAGATCCTGAACGGTGGCGAGCACGTCTGAGCTGTTGTGCTGCACATGGGAGCGAATGACATCAGGCTGCGGCAGATGGAGGTTCTGAAGGACTACAGGAGCCTGATCGAGATGTCTATTCCTCGTTTAGTGATGCCTGTGGAGAGACTACTCTGCCTGTGAGCTGCTGGATCGGCGGTCAGCACTTGAAACATCACATGCCGATGCTCACAAGTCAGTGGTTAGTTACTCTTTGACTGACTTCATCTACTCAATGCATTTCTTTGCCCAGGAGGACGCGATCATCTCTGGCTTCATTCACTCCGGCACCGACACCACACCATGGATCACACAGCGGAAGACACGAGCTAGGACCAGAGCTAGAACCTCTCCGCAGCCCCTCCCAGTCTTGGAGATCTCGACCCAGAACCGCTTCTCCCCTCTTGGTGAGTCGGAACGCGACGCCACCGTGATCAAGGGCATGTCCATGGTCCGTCATGTCTGCGCACCTTATCCTTACCTGAGGTAGCACATTCACTGCTTTCCTGGTGCTCATGTTCTTGATGTTGCTTCACAGGTTCCCGAGATCCTGAACGGTGATGAGCGCGTCAGAGCTGTTGTGTTGAATGTGGGAGCGAACAACATTAGGCTGAGGTTCTGAAGAAGGACTACAGGAGCCTGATTGAGATGGTACACAACACATCGCCTGAAGCAACGAGCTTTGCACATCTAACCCTTTCTGTGTCTTCGTTAAAATCTTTTCTAGATTTTTTTTTCGACTAGGTTTCACTAGTCGTCTTCTAATTGATTTATCTTTAAAAAAGAAAATAAATTTCTAATCCTTAAGCATATCCACGCGCACGCTATTTAGTAGGCGCTTAACTGTTCAATTACTGGCCAGAATTGAACAGTTAAAGCCCCACGCTGGGCGCCATGTTTTACGGTGTGCGCTTTAAACTTAACACCTTTTAACCTTATTATTTATTATCCTCAGGTTAGGTCGAGTAAGTCAAATCTGCCCTAAATCTTAAGCATTCGAATGGTATTTTCAATTGTTCAGATGACTTCTCTGTGGTCAGTTCTTGCTTAAGGTTTATTAACACTGCTAGACGATTACTTGTAATTAGCATTAGTTATTTATTAATGTAAATATTCCAAAAATAAAAGTTAGGCTCAAATTTAAATTCTTCATGCTCAAACTCTGGAATCTACTCTTGTGTAAGGGAAATCATTATGGACATCAGCTATGCTAATTATTTCCCATCTGTTTTCTGCTGTTATCTCGGGACGCTTGTCCCGAGAAAAAATGGCGTTCGTCAACTCCAGTTTGTCGGAGCTGCTGTACTGCACGTGGGAGTGAACAACATCAGGCTGAGGTTCTGAAGAACTTCTACAGGAGCCTGATCGAGATGGTACGCAACACATCGCCTGAATCAACGATCATCGTGTCTGGGCCGCTTCCCACGTACAGACAAGGACAGAAAAGGTTTAGTAGATTATTTGCACACACCTAATAAATAGTAAGTCAAAATCCAAATCACAGTCTTTGTTGTCCAAATTTAATTGATATGCTTAGTGTGGAACATTATCTTGAAACTGTGTCTATTCCTCGTTTAGTGACGCCTGTGGAGAGACGACTCTGCCTGTGAGCTGCTGCATCGGCGGTCAGCGCTTGAAACATCACAAGCCGATGCTCACAAGTCAGTGGTTAGTTATTCTTTGACTCTGACTTCGTCTACTCCATGCGTTTCTCTGCCCAGGAGGACGCGATTATCTCTGGCTTCATTCAGTCCAGCACCGACACAACACTATGGATCACACAGCGGAAGACACGAGCCAGGACCAGAGCTAGAACCTCTCCGCCGCCCCTCCCAGTCTTGGAGATCTCGACCCTGGAACCGCTTCTCCCCTCTTTGGGAGTTGGAACGCGACGACGCCGTGGTCATCGGCACGCCAATGGTCCGTCATGTCCGTGCTACCTCAGGTAAGGATAAGGTGCGCACTCACTGCTTTCCTGGTGCTCATGTTCTTGATGTTGCTGCACAGGTTCCCGAGATCCTGAACGGTGATGAGCGCGTCGGAGCTGTTGTGCTGAACATGGGAGCGAACGACATCAGGCTGAGGTTCTGAAGGACTACAGGAGCCTGATCGAGACGGTACGCAACACATCACCTGAAGCAACGAGCCTTGCACATCTAACCCTTTCTGGGTCTTCTTTAAATAATCTTTTCTAGATTTTTTTTTCGACTAAGTTTCACTAGTCGTCTTCTAATTGATTTATCTTTAAAAAATAAAATAAATTTCTAATCCTTAAGCACATCCACGCACACGCTATTTAGCTGGCGCTTACCTGTTCAATTACTGGCCAGAATTGAACAGTTAAAGCCCCACGCTGGGCGCCATGTTTTACGGTGTGTGCTTTAATCTTAACACCTTTTAACCTTATTTATTATCCTCAGGTTAGGTCGAGTAAGTCAAATCTGCCCTAAATCATTAGCATTCGATTGGTATTTACAATTTTTCAGATGACTTCTCTGTGGTCAGTTCTTGCTTAAGGTTTATTAACACTGCTAGACGATTACTTGTAATTAGCATTAGTTATTTATTAATGTAAATATTCCAGAAAGAAAAGTTAGGCTCAAACTTAAATTTTTTTATGCTCAAACTCTGGAATCTACTCCTGTGTAAGGGAAATCATTATGGACATCAGCTATGCTAATTATTTCCCATCTGTTTTCTGCTGTTATATCGGGACGCTTGTCCCGAGAAAAATGGCGTTCGTCAACTTCAGTTTGTCGGAGCTGCTGTACTGCACGTGGGAGTGAACGACATCAAGCTGAGGTTCTACAGGAGCCTGATCGAGACGGTATGCAACACATCGCCTGAAGCAACGATCATCGTTTCTGGGCCGCTTCCCATGTACAGACAAGGACAGGAAAGGTTCAGTAGATTATTTGCACACACCTAATAAATAGTAATAAATGTGTTTTACTTGTGTGAATCCTGACTTGTGTTTGACTTGTGTGGGTCTTGACTTGTGTTTGACTTGAGTGGATCTTGACTTGTGTTTGACTTGTGGGGCTTGACTTGTGTGGGTCCTGAGTTGTGTTTGACTTGAGTGGATCTTGACTTGTTTGACTTGTGTGGGTCTTGACTTGTGTTTCACTTGTGTGGATCCTGACTTGTGTTTGACTTGTGTTGATCTTGAGTTGTGTGGATAATGCCTTCTATTGTCTCTGTAGCACAGGAGCACTTTAAAAAAAAGAGAATTTATTAATGTCATGAAATTGATTTGACAACATTTGCTTTTGTATTTATGGCTTGGAAACTTGTACCATTTTTAAGCCCCTTTCCCCCTTCTTAATACTCATTTTGTGTTATGACCATTTTTTTTCTGGTCTATTTGCACTAATGATATTGTGCTTTTGGTTTGCTATTCTTTGCATTTATTTAATCTTTTAATACTTCCATACCTCTGTTACCTTTCCCTTTAAACTACTTGTAAATATGCCCTTGTCCTATGTTTTAGTCAATTTTAGTTGTATAGTGCTTCTCAAAATAGTTTAAAAGTGTCTTTATGCCACTTAATTTTAGCCGTTGTGTTCCTTTTCATCATTTATATTGATTTGTCCTAGTATCCTCTTCGAATCCCTCATTTAAGTTTGATTGTCAAATGATGGCATTTGTTCATTATTTCTTATGTGTTTTTTTGATCTTGTCTTTAAAATTTTGTATTTTTACACTTTTGTAAAAAGTCCCTATTTTTGTGCCCCTTGCTTCATGCTCCTTTTTTCCCTTTTGTAGAAATGTTAATGTTTTGTATTTATGCTGTTGATTGAATGTATTACATTGACAAATGTAAGGGAATACAACAGGCAATCATTTTCTTCTATACATAAATGTTTTGAAACAAACAAAAAAAAGATATGCATTAACTGTACTGTCATTTTAATGCATTGTAGTTTTAGGTCTTGCATTTTTATGGGCTGAAATTAAATATCTCCAACTTCTTAAATGTTACTGTTCAGAGAGAGACTGTGGGCTTTCTGAGAAGGAACATGGCATTCTTGTATGTACAGTCACTGCAAATCTTCACTACATTAATGCCTTTTATTATTTATACTTGTATAAAGCAAATTACTTGTACAGCTTTATAAAACACAGTCCTGAAACTGCTGCTGTTGTATTTATGCCTTAACCTCATGTATTTAAGATTTTTTTTTTTTATAGTCACAATGGCACTTTTTGTATCGGTGCTTTTTTTTTTTTTTTTTTTTTTTTTTTTTTTTTTTTCCATCTTTTGTATTAATTTCATTCCTTTTTCTTGTCTTTCCCTTTTTTTTCCTAAGCCTATTTTTTTTTTTGATGTCTTCCATCTTTTATTAATGCTCCTGGTCTTAGTCAATGGGACAGGGCATAAAAAGGCTTTACCCTGTTCTATTTTGTATTGAAAGGAACTGCGTCAAATGGTTTGTCTGTACTTTTTGCATAATTATGCACTTGTTATTCTCTTACTGTCTTTTGTATGTTCGCATTAGTCTCATCATGCCCATTTTCTGCTTTGGTTCATCTCTGTTGTGGTCACTTGTATTTCATGCTGCGATTTCATTCAGCCTGTTTGAATTTTGTTCTTCCCCTGATGGTATGGCTATCGGGTTCATGGGGTACTTGGTTCTCCACATTAACAGAAGTTAATGAAAATGAAGTTTCTTTTTAAGTGTTCAATTGTTGGAATTGGGTGGGTGGGACTTGTAAAGACAAGAGACTCGTCAAAGGACTTGTGGATCTTGACTTGTGTTCGACTGACTTGTCCAGGGTTGATTTCAACCCTTCACCTCATCAATCAACTGCAGGTGCAAATCAAAGTTACTTGAGCTACAATATATAGGGGTGTATCCCACTCACAAAGACAATTTCTTTTTTCAGTTTTTTTGTTTTTATTTATATTGTACTAAATGTAATTTTTGTATTTATGGTTTCGCCTCTTGTTCCATTTAAGATCAATTTTGTCCTTTTATTATCCCTTTCTATTTTATGACCCTTTTGTCTCAAATAACATAAAAAAACAATAAAAATAAAAACCTAAATATACCATAAATGCATTTTTTTTAAAATATATTTCTTTCACTGGTTTCTAACATTTTCTGTCTGCTTTTTATGTTCTTGTTTGCCTTTCTTATATGCTATTGTTTTCCTTTCTTGTATTGTAAAGCTTTGTACTGAAGTTGTAAACTTACTTTTTTGTATTTTGTTGCACTTGATTTTGTTTTCATTTTAATTTCTTTGTTTGTTTGTTTTTTTTTTACTTAGGCTAACAAAAGGCTTTAAACAGAACATGGAAACAAATATGGACCATAAACCGTGTTTCTATTCTTTTATGACTTTACTTGTGCCCATATTGTGTAATTTGGAACACCCCATTTGTGAATCGTAACCTTTTTTTGCATTTTCAAAATTACTTTAAGTTTTTGTGAGGTTTATAATCTGTTTGTTTATTTTGTGTTCCCATTAAACAGCTGGAGGGACCGGCCAACACAGGATAGACAATCCAGTCTGATGTCCTTTACACTCAGCCTTTCATTGATGCTGCTCCTCCCCCTCCTCTAGTGTCATCTAGTTAATGTGGCCTGTGTTTGTTGGCTACTTTCAGCCCTTTGGTTCATCCTTCATTTTACCCTTTACACATTGAGTCCACCTTTGTGCCAAGCCCCAGACTTGTGGCGGAGCTGGTAATCTGAGGCCAAAAACAGGTAGACAGAGTGAAAGTTAGGTTGATGCTCTATCAGGTCCTCCATGGGCAGTTATTGCCCTGCAGTGCAGTGGTCTTGTCTCTGCCCAGGTCCCCATCTCTAATGGCTCCATCTGAGTTGGTTGTCCACCGAGTTGTAACTGGCACATTCACCAAAGGTCCCCCTATCCTTTTATTGACTTTGTTTTGGCTCTACATCCCATCCTAAAGCAGCTTTGTCCACTTGACTTATTTTTGCTACTTTGTATTGTTTAACCTTGTTTTTTGTATTTCAGCACATTTTAGGTTTTTTATTTTAGGATTTTTTATGCCCTCTATATTTCAATCAGTCTGTCTTTTTTTTTTTCCTTTTGTACAGTATTTTATTTACTAACTTCTATTTAAACTTTGTTCTGTGCCCTTTATGGTCTTGTCTAAGCTATTCTAAGACAGAACAAAATAAAGTTGTCAAGCATAAAAGCTGCACGTCTCAGATTATTCTTCCTTTTGCATTCCTATTCCCCTTTAGTGTTTGTATTTCTGCTGTTTGCCTTTTATGCCTCTGCCAGTTAAGTCCCTTTTTTTGCCCTGTTGTAGTGATTTTTACATATTTTTTCCTTGTGGTGTTAGATTA